CGCGGTGGCTCACGCCTGTCTCCTAGCACTTGGGAGCCAAGGCGGAGGATCGCTTGAGATCAGGAGTTTGAGACCAGCTGAGCAAGGGCAAGACCCCTCTCTACTATAAATAGAAAGAATTAATTGGCAACTAAAGTATATAGAAAAACTGAGCGGGCTAGTGCGCCATGCCTGTAGTCCCAGCACTCGGGGGGAGGCTGAGAGGAGGATCGCTTGAGCCAGGAGTTGGAGGTGCTGTGAGCGAGGCTGGAACAGCACGTAGCCTGGGCGACAAGTATCTTACCCGGCCTTAAACCCTTTTAAGTAATATTGCATAAGCAATGAAAATTATTAGTGTCTAATTCTCCTCCAGTTTCCATTTTGTTTACCACACTGTTCTTAAGACAGAGTATAATAAAATTACTTGACAGAAAAACTGGCTGAAAAATGGCCTTGATTCAGATGGCTGACTGAAATTAATGTTTTCCTTTCTGAACTTTAAACCTCAAAGTTGTAGGCAATCTTTTTTTTTTAAATGGGTGAACAATTTCTAACTACAAAGTGGAGACAACTCAATCTTAAAACTCAAATAGAATAGTGAACACATTTATTAATAGGAAAAGGCTCAAATGCCTTCTACCGGATGAAAATGCTCAGTTTTTTGGGCCGGGCGCGGTGGCTCACGCCTGTCATCCCAGCACTCCGGGAGGCCGAGGCAGGAGGACCGCTCTAGGTCAGGAGTTTGAGACCAGCCTGAGCAAGAGCGAGAGCCTCCGTCTCTACTAAAAATAGAAAGAAATCATTCTATTATCTACTAAATAGAAGGAAATTATTCGCCAAATAAAAAAAAAGAGAATGCTCAGTTTTTGCCTATGTACGTTTAAAGCAAGTAGTCCCATTTTCCATTAATGTCTGCGAAAACCTACCACGTAGCCGCTTCGAGATGTAGCTATTTGTTCAAGACCAGAGCGAAGCCAGAGGCATAAAAGAGTACGGATTAAACTAAATTGCAGACAGCTTTTTTTTTTTTTTTTTTAAAAAAAGACTGCAAACACAAAAAACAGCGCATTACACGACTTTGAATCTCGATGGACGTGGAGGGAGGAAGGGGGAGACGAGAAAGAAGCTTGGTTTCAGCTCTGTGTTATGCATGACCAGAGCTCCCTTTCTGAAAAGCAGCAGGCCGAGGGGGGCTTGCAAGGCCGCAGCTGGGCGTGGGCGCTGCGAGGTGCGCCCAGCCCAAGGAAGGCCTGGGTACCTGGCGGGCGCCCTGGACGCGAGGGGCGCCCGGTTCCGAGCGGTGCTAAGGTGAGCAGCGTACCTGCAGGGAGGGCGTGGCCTGGCAAAGGGACGTCGGCGTATCATCGTTTCTTTTGCTTGTTTTTATTTTTTAAAAAACACACGTTTTCCTGCAGACGGCGACGGAACGAGGGCGGCCGGCTAGACGCCAGCCTTGTTTGGCCTGCGTGAGGAGTTGACGGCGACAGGCGAGTTGGAATGCTGTGCTACACGCGTGTCACAGCTCGCGTATGGCTCACGCTGCGGCGCATGCTTGTGGCGCGCTCCGTGAACGCGCCGAGACTGGGCACAGGCGGCCGGGGAGAAGTTAGTTAAGTAGGGAGAATCCAGCTTCACCCCGGCACCCGGCGAGGGAGCGGCCTGGAGGATCGCTCAAGAGGTCGGAGTTCGAGATCAGCCTGAGCAAGAGCGAGACCCTTCTCTACTATAAGAAATAAAGAGGAATTAACTTGGGACCAACTAAGTAATATATAGACAACATGAGCCCAGCGTGGTGGCGACGTCCTGTAGTCCCAGCTATCAGACAAAGGAGGCAGGCAGGAAGGATCGCTTGAGCCAGGAGTTAAGAAGGTTGCTGTGAGCGAGGCTGATGCCACGCACTCACCTATCCTGGCGAACCAGAGGTGAGATCTCTGTCTCAAAAACAAAAGAATTAAGGAGAATTCCAAAGACCTCCTCATCAACACAGATCTAAATGGGGACGTGAATAAAAAAAATTTTACACTAAAATTCATACCAAGCCGTTTAGCATTTCTAGAAACAGTCGCTTGGAACTGATCTGACAATGTTATCCAAGTACACACCGATGAAAAATGATTACATAACGGAATTATGGTGAAATTACACGTATAATAAAAACTAGGTGACCGCCTGGGCACGCCGTGGCTCGCACCTGTCCAATCCTATGGCACTCTGGAAGGCCAAGGCGGGAGGATTGCATCAAGGGGGGGGTCAGGAGTTTCAAGACCGCGCCTGACACGAGAGCCCCGTCTCTACATCAACTACAAGAAATTAATGGACCCAACTAATAGTATATATAGAAAAAAATGACCGTAAGCATGGTGGCCACTGCCTGTTCCAGCTAACTCGGCGAGCAGGCTGAGGCAGGGAGGATTGCTACGCCCAGGAGTTCTGAGGTTTGCGTGAGCCTAGGCTGACGCCACGCGCACTCACTCTACGCCTGGCAACAAAGTGAGATTCGTCTCAAAAAAAATAGAAAAATCAATAAACTAGGTATTTTCTCACAGCAAAGCAGCCAGATTTCCTCCCCCAAACTGAAATGCTAACGTCTCTCTCCATTTAAGAACTTTGATTCTTCAATTATTTTAGATGGAGCCTCAGATCTTTCAAAATTTTTCCTATGCACATCAAGATTAAAGTTTCTTAATCATATCTCAAAGTAAGGACCCAATCTACTTTAAACCTTATCTACAACAGAGACCCTGAACTTTTGTTCCACTACCATTAGTAGGGCAGCAGGCATGACCAAGTGTTCAACTACTAATTACTGACTGCCTTGCCTTATCTCTTAAAACCATAAAACCTGTAGTTTCCCATGTGATTATCTGCCATATATGTCCCACACTAAAGAGAGAAGACTTGACTTTATTTATTTTTTATTTTTTTTGAGACAGAGTCTCACTCTGTGCCCGGCTAGAGTGAGTGAGCTCGCTCACGAGCAACTCCAACTCCTGGCCAAACGTCTCTGCCTCAGCCTCCCGAGTAGCTGGACTACAGACATGTGCCACCATGCCCGGCTAATTTTTCTATGATTAGTTGCAAATTAATTCTCTATTTTAGCAGAGACAGGGTCTCGGTCTTGCTCAGGCTGTCTCGAATCCTGACCTTGAGTGACCTCCTCCTCGTGGAGCCACCATGCTGGGCAAGACTTTACTTTAGATCGTCCATGGACCACACTACCTGCACTATTGTATCAACTTTCTTTAGTTTGGTTCTCATGAAATGAGAAATGATTATTTTTATCCAAAGAAACTGGGTGTGCGGAATGGGGTTGAGGAATGCTGAAATGCAAAAATATAAAAAGAGAGTCCCAGTTCTTTTTTCCCTCACCTATCCTAGTGCTTTCATTAATAAAACAAGACAATTTTGAAAGGAATGGAGAGGGGACAGGGGGAGAGACAGAGTGAATGACTCCTTGCTGCTAGCTACCGTCATAGTCACAGCACTTTAACCTGCGACACTGTCTTGTGGCTACATCTGGCTTTGTTTTTATGTAACAGGTGTTCTAGAATAAAAGGATCAGGATTCTTAGATCATGAGGAAGATTACAGATTTCATCTCTGGCAAAGAGTGTCTACCTACTCTCTGATTTCCTGATACGTGGGCCATATAAAATGAACAGCAGAAGGTCAGTTACCTTAGGGCCGATACAGGCAAGCTTGTACTTCTATTCTTTGTTATGAGAAGCATTACAATTTCTTTTCTCTCTCTCTTTTTTAAAACAGGGTCTTGCTCTATTGTCCAGGCTGGAGTGCAATGGTGCGATCATTGCTTACTGTAATCTTGAACTCCTAGGTTCAAGCGATCCTCCTGTCTCAGCCTCTCCAGTAGCTGGGACTACAGGCATGCGCCACCACACCTGGCTAATTTTTTTAAAAAGTTTTTTGTAGAGATGAGGTATTCGCAGGCTGGTCTCAAACTCCAGGCCTCATGTAATCCTCTCACCTTGGCCTCTCAAAGGGCTGGGACTACAGGCGTGAGCTACCATACCTGGCCTCTCTCTCTCTCCCTTCCTCCTTTCTCTGTCTCTCTCTCAGATTCACACACACACACACACACACACACACACACACACACACACACACTCTGTCTGACTCCGTCAACCCAATGAATGAAGTTTATGATTTGGACGGTTAGAGCAAAGCCCATTCAGTGACTGTCATGACAATTTTGCCCCCAGCTGTACTAAATGAGAGTGTTGATGAGACACTTATTTTACTAGCAACTAAGAATAAATGATCATCATAAATCCTCTATTTCCCCCCAAACTTACTGTCTGTTCCCTAAGTTTATCGTACAGAAACTCCAAACGCTTGCTGGCATCATCTAGCTTCCTCTTGGTTTGCTGCAAGAGAGGAAAAACAGATGTCACAGCGGAACATTCACTTTTATCCAGAGAACTCGCTCTGTCTCATTACACAGAACATCGCGCCAGGCGTCCCCGAACTACAGCCCTCGGGCCACACCCGGGTGTTTCTGCCCGTTTGTTTTTTTACTTCAGAATAAGATAGGTGCAGTGTGCATAGGAATTTGGTCACAGTTTCTTTTTGAACTATAGTCTGGCCCTCCAACGGACTGAGGGACAGTGGACTGGGCCCCTGTTTAAAAAGTTTGAGGACCCTTGCATTACACTCAAGATGTTGAACAGGTTCATTGTATAAAGAAATGGAGGCAACTATGACTAAGAATCGTGAGCAGATTATTAGAACAGGGGCCGGCAACCTACTAGGGGTGGTGTGGGACGGGGAGAGGATGCGATGTCCCTCTAGTGGACAAAACAGAGGACTGGTTAGATTTCACGTGAACTGCAAACTCACCTGACAAGGTGTGCACCTGTGCTATGTTCACAAGCATTGGAAGGCAGGAATGGGTCAGTGAACCACAGAACAGAGGGTCTAAGTACAGCTATTGTTGATTATGGGAGCTCAACGGCAAACATACAGAACTGTGGAATCTTGTATTAATTTTTCAAAAATAATACCTCTATGCAGGTAGTCCCGGGGTTACAAACGAGATACATGCTAAGAACATGTTTAGGTCAGATTTGTATGCAAGTCAGATCTCTGATGAACAGCCCATATACGGTACTCCTGCTGCTAATAATAACGATACTCCAGTGGTGCGTATGTAGTAATAACATAGTGTAATACTGTAATAATTAATAGTAACACCCCTGTACTGCAATAATAAGTTGCAAAAACTGTTGTGCTTTCTTTTAATTTAAACAAACAGAACACAGAAACAAACTCATACAAAAAGTTTAGACAGGAGAAATTTCATAAAGGAATATTAAAGGCTAACATTCACCTAATGTTGCATCAGCAATAGGCTAACAGGAATGTTACGCTCACTGTAATCTTCTAAACAAATCAACGGTAACTCTTTCCATTTCAATAATTAATCTATGACGCTGCTTAGTAATAATGGATGCTTTCCTTGGGACACCGCCTTTCACATGTTCCGTTATCCCCACTGTATCCTTTACAATTGTTCCAACAGGCAAGTGACTGAAGCCTAATGCTTTTCCAATGAACGAAGGTGGCTGGCCTTTCCCGAACGCTTTATCGTTTCTACTTTTGTTTCCACTGCAATCATCTGTTCTCTCTGCCGCAGGCTCACCTGGACTTGCACTGTACTTTCACTTTGGAATCACGGTCGTGGGGGCAAACACAGACTCACAAAATCAAATCAAAAAGTTAAGAAGGAAGTGATAACTGCGTAAGTGACGATATAAGCAGCGAGACCAGCTGCTGGTGTACAGAGGCTGGCCAACAAACTGCTTGCGCCATATGAAGGTTTGCACATGTGTGTGGAAGACTAGCTCCTGAATTATTAATTTAATCATTTAAATTATAAATTATCCTCATAGCGAGCCTTGGGAACCCATCTGTAAGTACAGAATGCTGTAAGTTGGGTTGTCTGTAATGTGGAGAGTGACTGTGCTTAGTTGTATTTGGTACCTTTAATCTTGCCTGTTTCTAAGCCTTTAAAGCACCAAGAAAAAGAGAGAACATTATCTTCTGGCAATTTAAGGTTACTGAGAGTAGTAAAATAGGTTCTTAAATTAAAAAGTGTTTTTCCAAGAGAACTACAAATCACTGAGGGAAACTGCAGATGATGGAAACAAATGGAAAAACGTATCATGCCCACAGACCGGCAGAATCAACACCGTTAAAATGTCCATATTGCCCAGAGTGATTTACAAATTCAATGCAATCGCCATCAAAATACCAAAATCATTTTTCACAGATCTAGAAATAATAGTTCTACACTTCACTTGGACCAAGAAAAGAGCCTGGATAGCCAAAGCAACCTTACACAAAAAGGGAACTAATCAGGAGGTAACACTTTATCAGACTTTAAGCTATCCTACGAGGCTATAGCAACCAGAACAGCACGGTACTGGCACAAAAACAGAGACATAGACCAGTGGAACAGAACAGAGAACCCAGATATAAAACTATCCATTAAATTAAAACATACTGACTCGTACGTGAAGAATCGGAGGCGTGCCATGTTCTTATGAGCACTGCTCCAGTTCTGAGTGAAGTGGCCTGTCTCTCTGGAGGGTGAGCACGCGGCTGGCTGGTCACCAGTTTCACTCGCTCTCCTGCTTCTGGTCTGCTCTCTCTGTCACTCCCAGAATGCGGGGCCATCTATGCTCATTGTTTTCCTGATGCTTCCAGTATAGGGAACTGCTTTCTACAAGACTAGCAGAAGGCTGCACATGCTAATACTCAATGTCTGATCAAACAACGAATTCCAGAAGCTGTTTTTTCAAAGCAGCACCAAGCAGCCAATGGTTAAATAAACATTCAATGTTTGTGGACAAAATGTGGAATTTCATTTAAAACAAGACTGGCTTTGTGGAATGTTTGTTTTTGCCAATACACAGATGTCCTCTAGCCAAACCAATTATTATAATATCAGTTGCTTTAAATACGAATATGACTCCAGTATCTAAAACACTTAACTATCTTTAAGATCTTTGCAAAATACAGAAGATGATCTGTCTACTTTGAAAAACTTAAATGTGAGCCCAGAACGAAATCCTAAATCTGAGTTTCTTGTATACCACTGTATGTTCTATTTATGTGCCAAACACAAACAGGTTTGTTGATAAGAGGCAGTATAGCTTGGCAGTTGACAGCACAAATTTTAGAGCCAAACTGTTTGGGTTTGAATGGGGGCTCTGAGCTTAGGTGCTACTGAACTGCTCTTTGCCTTAATTTCATCATCTGTAAAATAAAAACGACAAATCTACCTCCCATAGGGTTACTGTGAGGTCTAACTACATTTACACATAAAAAGCAATTAAATGCATTTCTATATGTAATGTAGACTATGTAAGCGCTAGCTTTATGACTTTTACGTAAGCTCTTTAGAAATATACCTTGCACGACTTTTAAGTTGTGAATATAGAAGAGTTTCATAAAGGATTGCTTTAATTAAGCAAAATATGAAAAAAAAATACGTACAGGGTCTGTGGCTGAAGAAAGGCAGCGCTGAATAAGGTCCTCGAATGTGGTCTTCAGGATGAGGTGCTCGTCTGGAATGGGTTTCTTGGTGATTTTTTCCGTTGGTAAAGACTGCACATGCTGGAAGAAATCATATCATAAAATAATCAGAAACATCCAGAAGGCACCTCAACACACAAAGCCCTGAATCTACGTGCTAAGGAGAAACCAACAACATTGTAGATAGGCCTGTTCAAAAATCACATGAAAATTTAATGTGTGACATCATCTGGGATAAGTAAAAACGAAAACCAGGTATCTAGGAAAAGGTATAAACAGCCCTACAGCTTGGATCGTCACAGGCAGGACTGGAAATTTAGGGAACGTATGCTGGTCATTATTGGCTTCTAACTGCTGTAACTGACGGGGAGTAAACGTGAGCCGGCAGGAAATGAAAACAAGGCATTGGAAAACACAGTTGGCTAGTTAGCGCGGCGGCCCGCTCTGCTTGTTGGCTCATTTTTATATATCCTGGCATTCTTTTATTCTTTGTTTTACTCTTAGAGGTTGTTAACTGGGCTGTGATCAAAACTGCAAGATTAAGCCAAAGACTAAGCTAGAAGAAACCCATGCTGTGGCTGAGCATATAGATGGAAGAACAATGAAGGAATATTCAAATTTTTAAGTTTTACTATTAATAGTTCATCATTAGTTCAATCATTCATTTGAAGGATATTGGGCATTATGCACCGGGCGCTGGCTAATGGGAAAAGCAAAGTTAAAAAACATCAGAAATGTGTGTAAAATAGCAACTGTGGGAAGTTAACACTTAGTGGAACCAAAAGACACTATGACCGGGATTCGACGGAAAGGAGGGGAGTGCTCTCTTCAGGAAGTCACGTCGAAAGGACAAGCAGGAGTTACCCAGATACGTGAGGAGGACAGAGCCTTCCAGACAGAAGGAATAACACGTACAGACGAAGGACCATGGCATCGGGGGACTAAAAGGAGGCCAGTGTAGCCGGAGCACAGAGACAGCAAGAACAGGAACAGGAGCTGAGGCCTTTAAGACATCTTTAAATATTCTGGCCTTTATCCTGAGAGCAACAGACAGCTGTAATGTTTTAAGTGAAGAGGAGACAAAATCAAATTAGAGATGGATCAAAGCAGATACTGGCAGGCCAACTGGGAGGCTCTTACGCTGGTGATGGTCTGAGATAAAAGGTAGCGTGGACCAGAGTAGAAATGCAGACAAAGGATTCGAGAAGTATTTTAAAGTGATATCCACAAGATTTGGGGGGGATAGATTTGAAATAGAAATTAAAGGGAAAAGAGTATATAAAGATGATTCCCAGGTGTTTGGCTGGATTCAACAGGAAAGATTATGGCGGCGTTCACTGAAAAAGGAAACATGGAAAGAAGAGTATGAATTAAGTTTGGGACGGGTTGAGGCTGCCAGGCCTCCAAGACGCCCGAGTAGGTGGGTGGCTGGATCTATGGCCTGGCTCGATGCTATGCGTCTCTCCCTTTTCATGGTAACTGAGGTTCGGTCTAGGTAACTACAGCCCAAGAACCCAGGTTTAAATAAAAGTGATTTGCTAAGCAGCCTGCCAAAATAACACAGAGTCATAATCATTATTAAAAAAAAAAAAAAAACTTTTATAATTTACATTTTTATTTTTAAAGAAAGAACCGAGACTTCTCACCTTCATCAAAATATTTGTTTTTATAATGTAACTTTTAGTACTTAAATTTCTTTAGGCATAACTATCTCTTAACAGTATACTCTTATAATACGGATACAAATCTTTACAAATTTGAGTTCAGTGAGTCAAAGACAAAAGCAGACAGTAAAACTAGTTTTTTACTGTCTTCTCATGTTGAACTTTGATCTGAACTTTACTTTTCAGGAACAGAGCAAAATATTTATCGTTGTATGGCTAAGCCAGTTGTTATATGGAAATGTGTTAGATTTTTCAACATCTAGGACTTTGCCAACTAGATGTTTATGTGTGAAAAGCAAGTAAAAATATATATATCTCCATCCAAAAATGAGGCTTTATTATTCACTTTTATACGTACACAGGAAAATACATTTTTATTTTACATTTTAAAGGGAAAAACCTTTGGAAGCGGCCTTTGCTTAGCAACCCATGATGCAGTGATCATTCAACAGATCTTAAACTGTGGCTACACGTGACTAGGTCAAGTGACATACCACAATGGCCAAGTGACAGCAAACAAACACCATCAAATATGTAAAGCCTCTTCTAGAGAGTTTATAGTATGTGGCTACGTAATTGAAAAATAATATATTATATATGATCAATTTTAAAAAAAAAGGGTTACCATTTTTTGTTAAGTCATCTAAATTAAAACCACATTTAGGCTGGGCGCAGTGGCTCATGCCTGTCATACTAGCACTCTGGGAGGCTGAGGCAGGAGGATTGCTCAAGGTCAGGAGTTCAAGAGCAGCCTGAGCAAGAGCGAGACCCCGTCTCTGCTATAAATAGAAATAAATTAATTGGCCAACTATATAGAAAAACTGAGCCGGGCACGGTGGCGCATGCCTGTAGTCCCAGCTACTCGGGAGGAGGCTGAGGCAGGAGGATCGCTTGAGCCCAGGAGTTGGAGTTTGCTGTGAGCGAGGCTGACACCACGGCACTCTAGCCAGGGCAACAGAGTGAGATTCTGACTCAAAAAAAAACCAAAACCAAAAAACCACATTTAGATGTTCATTAATAACAATGTCGGCCAGGCGCGGTGGCTCACGCCCATCACCCTAACACTCTGGGAAGCCGAGGCGGGAGGATCGCTCAAGGTCAGGAATTCGAAACCAGCCTCAGCAAGAGCGAGACCCCGTCTCTACTATAAATAGAAAAAAATTAATTGGCCAACTAAAAACACAGAAAAAATTAGCCGGGCGTGGTGGCGCATGCCTGTAGTCCCAGCTACCTGGGAGGCTGAGGCAGGAGGATCGCTTGAGTCCAGGAGCTGGAGGTTGCTGTGAGTGAGGTTGATGCCACGGCACTCTAGCCTGGGCAACAGAATGAGATTCTGTCTCCAAAAACAAAAACAAAACACAAAACAAAACACAACACCATATCTAGATGTTCATTAATTAACAGCGTAATCGTGAAAGTTAAGACATGAAAGCAGACGTACTGAAAAAGAGCCCTCCCTCTCCCCGCTCCACTGGAGCAGACTCACTGGTACCTGGACGGTGTTTCCGATGGGGGCCCCCGGGGCGCCCTCGATGTTGGGCTTGGAGAAAGCGGGCGGCGGCACGCCTGCCTGGCCGAGGGGCTGCTGGATGCCGCCGGGGAAGGGCTGGCCGCCGCCGGCAGGTGGGGCTGCGGGAAGGCAGGCTGGCTGGGCGGCGGGACCGGCGCGGCCGGCTGCTGCTGGAGCACCTGGGACGGGGCGTCGCCCACGGGGTGCATGATCGGCGACGTGATGGGGACGGGAGGCGTGTAGTTTTCAGGCATCTGTTAAGAGATGGAAATAAAAGACACCGGGAGGAGGAACAAAAGAGACAGCAACAGTCCCTCAGCTTGAAACGGGGAGCCAGGCTGTTCCAGGGTTAAACAGATTTTTTAATGGTAGCAGAGCACTTATTTCAAATGACATGTCACGCAGAATTCTAAGGGCAAGACATAAAAGTAGAGGTCACTGGCTGAGAGGAGTGGACCTCAGACCTGGACCTCTCAGGTCTATCCTTGTCCCCAATATTTGCCCCCAGTAAAGGGAAGCCAACACCATGGTATTTTTTGGGGGGGGGGGACAGAGTCTCACTCTGTTGCCCTGGCATCAGCCTCGCTCACAGCAACCTACTGGGCTCAAGCGATCCTCCTGCCTCAGCCTCCCGAGTAGCTGGGACTACAGGCATGCGCCACCATGCCGCTCCATTGTTCTCATATATTTTTTAGTTGGTCAATTAATTTCTTTCTATTTATAGTAGAGATGGGGGTCTCGCTCTTGCTCCGGCTGGTTTCGAACTCCTGACCTTGAGCGATCCTCCCGCCTCGCCCTCCCAGAGTGCTGGGATGACAGGCGTGAGCCACCGCGCCTGGCCAAGACCACAGGCATCTTTGAAAGAAGACGGCCAGTCTGGAGAACTCTGTCCAGCAACACTGGGACCAGATGTGTCAGGTGTATGTGTTTGACGTGATCAGGACATAACACCTTTTCCTACATCACTGAGTAGACATCACTTGGCAATTCTATCACGCCAGAAGTAGCAGATTAAGTTTCTGACTACTACTCGCCCAAAATTTATTTTGGGTTTCTCTGCTCATTTAATGTCTCCCCAGTTTTATGTCACGGCCTCTCATTACTGTATTTGGGGGAAGAGAGGTCGCAAGGAATAAAAAACAAACACACTAGGAAATGGCTTGGGCAGAGAGAAGACTCTTTCTTTGTGTTCTAACAGCTCTCAATAGTTACTGACATCTAAATAATGTTCAATTACAAGGCTGTTTCTTCGCTTATATTATGTGTAAATGAAAAAAGCCCAAAAGCTATTTCTTCACTTATATGCAACAGAATCGCCAAATTCATGATTACTATTGGAACTGAAAGACCAGGCGTTCTCAAACTACGGCCCGAGGACCACAAGCGGTCCGCCGGGTGTGTTTGCCGCCGCTGCCTGTCCTGCTTAGCAGCCGGCTCGTCCCGGGCCCACAGTGCGCACTCTCCAACGGTCTGAGGGACAGTGGACTGGCCCCCTGTTTAAAAAGTTTGAGGACCCCTGTGAAAGACCAAAGCAGCTCCTAAAAAAAAAAATCATCAATTCTGAAGCCTGAGATTTCATTTCTACTTTTTTTTTTTTTTGCAAAGAGGCCTGTTGGGAATTTCTATTTTGCCTTCTAACAGGGCTTTAATTTATAATACCATCATCAGAGCAAGGCTTTGATGATAGCGTTTTCTACTTTCTTCCCTCCCCTCCAGGGATTAGAAGACGCATGTTGATATAGGCTTTAAATCCGCCAGTCAGAAAGCTCTGCTTCGGAAGGATCAGCGAAGCGGGTATGCCCCGAGAGGCCATACGATTAGCGTGACATCGGTAGGCCCACTGGGTGGACATCTTTTTCTAGTACCTTTTTCTTCTTGGGTACTCTGTTCAGAGCTGGAGGGTCATTCCAACCATTCTGAGGACCTGGAACAGACAGCAGAGGACATTTTCCTTTCAGAATCCCGAAAGGGAGAGAACGCAATTGAATCCATCCTCCGATACTTTGCAATTCTGCCTTAACCCTGAAATGGCTGTCACAAAGATTTCACCAGCCAAGCTGTGGGGATCACTATGGAGCTCCGAATCCTCACTTCCACAACTCTCATCGTCACAGAGCTTTGGCCCAGTGGAGAAGAGACCTTGACATTATTTCCACTTAAAGCACAGGAACTACGCTATTAAGGATGGTTAACTCTTTGTCTATATTGGTATATAACCTCCAAAGATCAGATCACTATTCTCTCCTTAACAAAGAAAAAATAAATCGCCTGAGTTTATAAGAAAAAAAAAAAAAGGGCTTCTCATATATTCAACATACAAAAAAAGGGTAAAAGCAGCAACCTCCTGTTTGTCAAGAGAGCAATTCAACATAAGCAAATCATTCACAAATGCTAAATGTAATAGAAACACTGTTAAAAAAATAACAGAGCTCGACTACGTAACACCAGTAATTTTTATAACCTTCCCCTTGGAATTACTTATAAAGTTAAAAAAAAAAAAAGCATTCAAATATCTGCTATGATTTTTTTTTAATAGCTGTGAAAAAATTCCAGGCTGGCAGGAAATATAAAATTAAAATACTATAAAATGTGGTCAATTTTTTCTCAAAAAACATACCAAAAAACCCCAAAAAATTCTCAAAGTGGAAAACAGACATCAGTAGCAGGACTCATTAAGTAGTTGAATCATTATCTTTAAAGAAAAAAGGAATACAACATGCTGGAAATAAGATAGGACAATTTTTAAATCACAATATACTTATTTTACATTTCACTAAGTTTGAGGGCTTTTTTTTTTTTTTTTTGAGACAGGGTCTCACTCTGTCGCCCTGTGCAGTGGTGTCATCATAGCTCACAGCAACCTCAAACTCCTGGGCTCAGGCAATCCTCCTGCCTCAGCCTCCTGAGTGGCTGGGACCACAGGCACATGCTACCAGCCCTGGATAATATTTCTTATTTTTTGCGGAGACTGGGTCTTGCTGTTACCCAGGCTGGTCTCAAATTCCTGGGCTAAAGCGATCCTCCTGCCTTGGGCTCCCAAAGTGCTAGGATTATAGATGTGAGCCAGTACAGCCGGCTGAATTTTGATCTTTTATAGGGAACTAGATACTGGCTAAAGAAACTTTTATGTTATGTGTCTATGTATGTAAATACAAAAAATTACTCCCCTTCCAATAAATTAAACATTCTTTCACTATTTTAACTTTACATGATGTTAAGTCACGACAAAATTATTAATACTTAGCAAACCAATGAACTTGTGACTGACGCATAAAGTCACAGGAACTTAAAAAAATATAGATCTCCTAATCACCATGTACTCATTTGCTTTGATTTTTAAAACAGAGTTCATTTCCTATGAGTTTACTAGGAAACAGAATGCCAAATATGGCTCAAAACACAAGAGTTAATCATAAAATATTAAACTATGTGCTATCTGATTAACAAATTCTTAAACTTCTGGTCATATTCAGATTAATCATTCAAACCTCTCTCCTCACCTTCTAGTCTTACTCAGATCTAAGACAATCGTGGCATAGTTGTTTTATGTCTATATAAAATACATCGTTTTTACGACTTAAAGCTATTTGTGTAATCATATACATTCAATCAGTTCTGAAATTTGACTCAATTAAGCAGCTAAAAATGATAAAAAATGATATTGATCAGATTCAGGATCTCATCATCTTTGAAGTTTGCATGCATTATTAATGTCCATTCATTAATTGTATTCGATGATTCAAAGATTCCCAAAGGTGTATTTTACAACTAATTCACCTTCCAACATAGGTGCCTGGTCTTGGATAGACTGATTTTCTGCAGATAAAATGTAAAAGTTACTTAAACAGTATTGTTGAAGACATTCTAAATTCTACTTCTCATTTTATAATTGTTTTTTCTCCATCAACCCCCAGAAAGAGCAAACTAGTTTTATATGGGAACAAAACTTACTTTTTAACCAAGTCACATGAAATGTCTTCTATCTAATTAAGAAATTAATCAGTTTTAAGGTAAAGTGAATTTATTTCAGTTGTATCAGATCCACTAAAATTTTATTTCATTTATTTATTTTTTGAGACAGAGTCTCACTTTGTTGCCCAAGCTAGAGTGAGTGCCGTGGTGTCAGCCTAGCTCACAGCAACCTCCAACTCCTGGGCTCAAGCGATCCTCCTGCCTCAGCCTCCGAGTGCTGGGATACAGGCATGCACCACCGATGCCCGGCTAATTTTTTCTATATATTTTAGTTGCCAATTAATCTTTTTTGTCTTTTAGTGGGACGGAGGTCCTCACTCTGCTCGGACTGGTTTTTGGAACTCCTGACCTCGAATGATCCTCCCTCCTCGCTCCTTTAGGAGGTGCTAGGATTTGCAGGCGTGAGCCACGTGGCCGGCCAGGATCACTAACTCTTAACATCATCACTTTTTCTTTATTTATAGTAACTTTTTAAGAGAAAATTTTATGATCCTTCTATTAAAACTAAAACAATAATCTTTGTTTGCATGGATGTTATATTTGACCCAATGAAGTCAAGTAATATCCTGATGAGGAGTTTTAACTGTTGATACTAAGTGTTGCTTCGGCTATTTTCGAAGTGTGATGCAATTAGCTGGGGAGTCTTGTGAATGCAGGTTCTATCCAGGTTAATATAGGGGAGGGACGAAATTTGCTGTTTCAACGTGCTCCGAGCGACGCCAAAGCGCTGAGTAGCAAGCACCTGTTTTAATACTGGTTTCCCGAAAATAAGCCCTTAGCCCATGCAATGCAAGCCCTAGGCAGGGATGGTTATAAGCATGTGCAAAAGAAGCCTACCCTGAAATCGCCCACGTGAATGGGCGTGGTATTGAAAATCAGCCCCCCGCCCCCAGTGATGGACGTGTGGCTTGAATAGGCCGCTGTGATGGGCGATGGCTATGAAAATCCAGCCCTGTGAGATGGGTGTGCTCATGAAAAGTTCGCCTAGGTGACGGCGTGGCTGCGCGCGCATCTGCACACCTATGGGTTGTCGTGGGGGGGAAAGGAACAGGAGCAGCCCTTCATGGGCCCGTGAGACCTTAGTGCGCACAGGAGGTTGGGGCGGGGCTCTAAAGGAAAAGAGTCGCAAGACTTTAGGATGGATTCGGGGGGTGTGGAGAGTTGAGTGATGTGTTCCAGAAAGAGGTTTGACTTACGCTGTTTGCATCAATGTCAGGATGTTGTGGGCTTGAAAAAAACAAGTACACTCTGAAATAGCCCCTTGGGTTCATTCTTGGAGGAAAAATAAATATAAGAGCCTGTCTTATTTTCGGGGAAACACGGTATTAGTGCTGAAGGCACAGAGAGTTCTGGCTAGAAGATAATCCAAGATGGAGAAAATAAAGCATTCTGGTCAACCAGACAGGCCTTCTCCTTCCCTATAAGACTGGGACATCACACTTTTAAAAAAAAAAGTGTCACAAAACTAAAAATTAATATTCAGAAAGACACAAATCCTTAAAGTCATTGTCCATCTACACAAGATAAAACAGAATTATCCAAAGAGAGTACAGAAGGCCATCACACTCCTTTTCTGTATCTGAATGGTACTGTAACAGGAGTAAGGAATATTTATGAAAAAATTTTTTAAAAAAACTCAGAATAACTGGCTCGTGAAAATGTGCAAGATTATTGCCCCCTAAGACTCTTCTATGTGAAGAAGCACGAGATTACATACGTTCATTGCATTTTCTGTTGTTTAACAACAATAATGTCAATAATGTTCACCCAGGGATAGCTCCAGGCTAGCTGGCAGGTGTGCGATGCTAGGGCCTTCGTGTTTGGAAGTGCTCTCTCCCTGACAAACGAGCACACATCAAACCAGGGACCCCTCCTGCCTCTAAAAAAAGCGACAGGCAGTGTCGCTTTTATCCAAGACAGTAGAACAGGGCGAGCACCCTGCTGTCCTGCACTGCCATGTGGAAATGACACCGTGCTCTCCTAACTTGGGCTGTTTCCACTTTCTACTTAGCATCAGGCCAGGGCCCGCTCTCCCTGCCTCTGAGTGCTGTGCTGCCCACAGCCTATCCTGCAGGGCTACCTCCGGATTAATCGCCCTCAAGTAGCCCTTTGACTATATACCGCTCGGCAGTTCAAAGGAACTTCACTAGAAACTTTTTGGTCACTGCGTGCAGTATTTCACATAAACTTCTTGCCCTGGCACGTACGTCTCTCCAAAATTGGGCCCAAACACAAATTGTATGTTCTAATTTATCACAGAGTTATCTGCTGTTCGCTAGAAATACACTGTCCTTTGCTATCTCCCTACTTCTTCTGTCTGGGAAAATTCTGATTGTAGACTAAACATGTACTCATTACGAATTTAACGAAATGTTTTACTGATTGCAACATTAGTTTCTCCGAGCCCCGAGCCCATAATTTTGTGGTTCGATAAAACAGAGGGCTTGAAAACCTGTAGTGTCTGTCAGAAATTATCCACTGGATGACTGGAATTTTTAAATCCTGAACGAAATCATGATCTAAAACACATTAGAACAAAGATCAACTTTTTCGGTCACGATTATGCATATAACCCAAGTAAAATTTTCAGGAAATCCAAAAGTAAAATATGGTAAAGTTGCAACTAGTGATTAAAATATAGAGCACTGTTAACATGCAACAGGGAACAAAGCAGCTAGGCATGGTACATGCTGAATACTGAAAAATGTCTGCTTGCTTCTTCTTTCTGTTAGTCATTCCGTTTCTCAGCCAGGTTAGAACAGTCTGTTATTCGGCATACAAAGGAAGAATAGTCTCATGGCACTTTGCTTAAGGAGGAAAAAAATACCCATGCAAATAATTTAACTTAGATTATGAAGTAACGAATGCCTAGCAGAGTGTTGCCAGGTGATTTCTTCAATTCCAATGCTGAGAGCTGTCTACTCTTCACTGGGACTAGACTACCTGGTACAGCAGAATGCACCTGGGCTTTGAAGACTGAGACCTGGGTTTGCATCTCAACTTGGAGAATACCACTGAGCAATCCTGAGAACATTACAGAACTCCTAAGAAACTCAGTTTCCTCATGTGCAATTTTTAAAGAATAAATATTACTATTTCTCAGGGTTGTAAGACTTCAGTAAGAAAATATATGATAAGTAGAACTTGTCCAACGTTAGCAATAAACGTTAATTCCCTCCCTTACTTTTTAAGTGGGGACATACTTGAACCCACGCTACCTGTTTCACTCAGGAACTCTGGATATTATCCAACTATTCGGAATGGGTACTGTCTTTCATTCAGCCAAGTTTTAAAAAGGTAATTTCTGGAACTCTACAAACGAATTAGCACTCCTCTCCAAAATGTCAAGCTATTCAAGCATCTGCATGTAATCCTGAATTTTTTTGTGTATTAAGGTGGGTGCATATAAAGTATGTGCCTGCGGGCAACTGTGACACAATGGCAGGCATGTGTGTATTTAAACATACCTGAGCACGGAAGAAGTGCACTCGCCATGAATGGACCTTATAAGACCGGAAGTTGCTCTGGGTGAGTAGTGAGTGAATGAGAAGGCCTAGGACATTACTGCACACGGACTGTAGATTTTATAAACACCGTACACTTAGCCCTACACTATATTTCACTGCATCTATTTGAAAATTTTTTCTTTCTTAATAATAACCTATTGTACTGTAACTTTTTCACTTTATAAATTCTTATAATTTTTAACTTTTTGACTCTTTTGTAATAACAGCTTAAAAATACCCTGTATAGCTGTACAAATATTTTTCCTTTTCTATTAATTTCTTTTTTTACTTTTTTAACTTTTTTTGTTAAAAACTAAGACACAAACACACACCTCAGCCTAGGCCTACACAGGTCAGGATCATCAATATCACTGTCTTCCACCTGCACAGCTTGTCCACGGGAAGGACTTCAGGGACAGTAACACACAGGCGCTGTCATCTCCTATGTAACAAGGCTGCCTTCTGGAATACCTCCTAAAGGACCTGCCTGAGGCTGATCAACAATTAACCTTTCTTTCCAGTGTCAGGCAGCTTGGAGGGGAGAGGGACGGGTGTATACAAACACGATAAGTGAGACGTGCACCGTCTGGGGATGGGCACGCTTGAAGCTCTGACTCGAGGGGGGAGGGGCAAGGCAATATACGTGACCTTAACACTTGTACCCCCATAATATGCTGAAATAAAAATAATTAACCTTTTTTTTTGTTTAAATAAAGTAGGAGTATACTCTAAAATGATTTTAAAAGTCTAGTAAAGTAATAATAAAACCAGTAATACACTTATTATCAGTGTGTTATGTACTATACCTAACTGCATGTGCTATACTTTTATTTATTTATTATTTTTATTTTTTGAGACAGAGTCTCACTCTGTCACCGAGCTAGAGTGCCGGGCTCAGCCTCGCTCACAGCAACTCCAACTCCTGGGCTCAAGTGATCCTCCTGCCTCAGCCCCCAAGCAGCTGGGACTACAGGCATGTGCCACCATGCCGGCTAATTTTTTAATATATTTTTAGTTGGCCAATTAATTTCTTTCTATTTTCAGTAGAGACGGGGTCTCGCTCTTGCTCAGCTGATCTTGAACTCCTGACCCGAGCGATCCTCCTGCTCCGGCCTCCCAGAGTGCTGGGATTACAGGCGTGACTACTGCACCCGGCCATCTATTATAATCTTATGAGACCATTGTCACATATGCGTCCATCACTGCGACTGAACATGGTTATCGCAGCACAGGATTGTATATCAAGTAGAGGGAAGGAAATGTGTGTGTAATTCTGGATCAACTATCCATGTGACTTTAAAGTAGTAACATTTAAAAATATTTTATATCCATATTTAT